TTTTTCCCATTAAGCTATGAACCTTTGTTATAGAACATGTTGAATCTATAAATATAGATTATTTACAGGTTATTCACTGACTTTGTTCAATTACTTTTTCTTCACACATCCTATACATTTCACATTTAAAAAAATTAAGATGTTTTTTTTTAAATGTGCAAACTCTAAAATTAATACTAGTTAATGTTTTCAAAACTTTTCCTGTGCTTCAGTCCTTTAAACTTTGACATGTGCAGAGGTTTAAAAAAACAAACAAAAAAACTAGAAGAATTTAATTGTAAAAAGGTATCTGTCAGGACTCCTCATATTTTTCTCACTTCAAAAAAGGTTTTAAAGTTCACCATATCCCCAATAAAACATGGTGGTGGCGGCATTATGCACTGGATTTTTTTTTTCTACAGATTGATTTTTGTCAAGGTAGAGAATGTTTTGAAAGTGTGAACCAAAACTCTCCTAAAACGCTAAAACTGAAGTGTGCTTGATTTTTCTGCATCACAGTGAGTTCATGCATACGTATAAATTAACAAAAGAATGGTGATTAAAGATTTGGTACAGTGTGTGACATCAGATCTGAAGGTTGACCTGAAGGGATCAGTCCTCAGTGGGTGTTTACACAATCACATGGATGCAGAGTGGGCACCTATTGAAGGACGACAATTCAAAAGACTGATAGACAGACTTGTAGCAAAGAATGCTGAAATCAGTGGGAAGGTTTCAGAAATTATTCTCACCTAAACTGAGATTAAAATAGTGAGAAAGAATGAATATAAATGAAAAAAATTGGCCTATGCCATAAAATATGCACATTTATGTCAAACTTATAACTCAAATTCATTTGGCATATTTACTAAAACAGTATTTCGATGCACTAGCGGCCACAACTCTATCTAACACCACATCAGGGGTCATGTTCCCAAATCCACATCTGGTCTGTTGCTGAAAAGTGGGGCCTATGGGGACCCAATAATGAGAACCACAGATCTTTGCTCCTTCTGCAGAGACGTTTTCTTTTATGAGCCTTGTCACAAGAACAAGCTGCCCATGAATCTCTGTGCAAGAGGCCTCTTTCCCATCCTTTCAGACACCAACTCTAGACAAAGGGGTCAATGGATGTCTTGAGGAGAAATGTCACCCATTTTGATGCAGAGAATATGTGCCCTGTACCCCAGTCCTGATCCAGTGGTGTTCTGAACAGGGTATACACAAAGGCCTCAAACTGCAAACCCAAGGTACTTTTTTTTTTTTTTTTTTGGCTTAAATTTCTTGATTACACTTGAAATTAACGAGAAACTATTCTCCTGCAGTCAAAGCTCAAACAGGCTTTGATTTTCAAATAGAACACGTTGTATATATATATATGTATATATACATTTTGTCAGTTGTGCTGGGTGAAGTTCTCAGCGTGTCACAGACTGCAGGAAGTGTCTAGCATGAGCACTTCCTGTCTGACAAAGCAGCCTTATTTCTTCTAGTTAAGCAATTCGTCGACAACCAACTGCGTTTAAAAAGGCCTGACAGATTTCATGAGGGCCGACCCTGACAGACCTATCCACTCACTCACATAGCTGCATATTGTCCTGAAAAAAAAAAAAAACATGCAGCTACATTATGTCAAAAACTGGCTCATTGCAAATTGCAATTCAACATAGTTGGTATCTCCTTTTTGATTTTTCAACATGAACTTACAGCAGTTTGTGTTATTTCATAAATAAAAAAGCAATTTTGACCCCTTTTTGACTCCATAGACAATCTGACATTAAACCAATACTTTTCGCATATACAGCCGACTAGTAAAAAAAAAAAGAAAAAAGGCAAAAAAAGGGAAAGCCAACATGGAGAAGAAAAACAGCGTGTCAAATTAATCCCACATTAAATCTAGATTAACTCAGTGCTATAAAACATTTTCAAAAAGCCAGTTCTGAACTCCGACACAAACGGCTACAACAGATGTGGAACTGGAGGGCCGATGATGGACTTCTGCTCACTTGCTTTATGAATGACTCATTCATTAAAAAGGTACACCATACCCCCGAATCCTTCTTATCCCACAAAAGTAATAACATCTAACATCTGAGCCACTGTTGAGCTGATTCAATAAGACAGGAAGTTTAAACAGGCTTCTAAAAGCATTCTTGTCCTTTTTTGGTAAACTTAAGAGCAGGGTACCTCGAAAGTGTACCCTATTAATAATGTACATGCATGAAGTTTATTACAATGTTTGTTCATCCACATAAACAGGAAATCTATGAATGGAATTTAGGTAGTGTTAAATAATAGTCATTAAAATGATGTAAACTCTAGTTAAGAATATCAATTTGTAAATGTAATATAAAAATCTAACAAATGATTTCATTTTTATTTGGGGGACAAAATACTCAAACATTTTAATTTCAACTTAATTGCATGTTGCTTCACATTCCAGTTGAAGAACTATTTTTTTATATTTTAGTGCAACAATTTTAGTTTGCATTAAGCTTTAGATAGTTTTGCATAAGTGCTAATGTTAAATTCAAACAAGGTCACATATTAGCTAAGGTTAAAGTACAGATTAATAAACAGCTGAGGTTAGCAAAACTTAAGAACTTGCATAAGGCTTTATGGCTGCAATAAACCTGAATAATCCTGATTAATCAATTACTGAAATAATGATAACCAATACAGTAATCAAATAATCATTAACAGGAGTATATATACTCTAAAACATCCCATTTGATAAAAGCATAACCTACACAGAACATTCAGACAACATTCAGACAAACATTATATAAATTTTGCATTTAAGACAAAAAGTCTTTATTTGTAATCATGCTCTATCTAGAACTCTTTCAGTAGCATTTCTTTGCATCAATTGAGTTTATTTAATATTTACTAGTCATTTAGAATGCATTTAAAATGTGCATCAAATGCTAAGTTTTCTAATATTTGTTTATTAAGATATTTTTTCCAATAAGAGAAACTCTTTTGAAATGTAAAATAATTTGTAATAATATTTACTTACCATATAAAAGATATGGTTCAGATAATTTCAGTGTTAGAATGAGAATTTAAATTTGCAATATACACCATATCTTTTATTTATAAAGCACTTTAAAAGCAATATTCCTGAGAAAAGTGTTGTATATCTACACTTAACATTAGAGATGTATATGTGTATTTATGTTCCGCTCCTTCAGAGACAAAACTACAGTCAAATTAATTAATTTAGTTCCCCACTACATTTTTTTTTATTTTATTTTTCAAAGACAATCGCAGTTTAACATTTATAGTTAACCTTGTTTAAGTACATCCAAAAATCTTTTTACGACTTCTGCTAGGCTTTAACATAAACCGCCTTCTAATTGTTTTTTTTTAGCATGGGGAAAGAAACAGAAACAAGCAAGGTTCTGATTGTTTGGAGCCATTTAGTCCAGTAACTGAAATAAAATAAATGGCTCCAGTGACCCTTAAATAAATCCTAACAAGAGTGACTGATAAGATATTTACAAAAAATAAAATGAATGCAAATTTTTACAAAAGCTTTCTTCAATTCTGAGATTCAATAACCTGACCTTTTTCTGGCTGATGCTAATTTCCAGTGTTCTTCAGCCAATTATAATTTTTACTTAATCTTTTCCAAAGATAAAAAGGTTTGCATTTAAAAAAATCAGCAAATTAAAAGATTCTCATTAGCTATGCATCAGAGCAAATGTCGGAAACCTTAATCTGATATATATTTTTATGTGCAAAGAACATTGTAATGCGTTTATAAATAGAAAATGGTGTAGTTTTAGTGTTGTTAAGTTTGAAAAATATTACTTTTTCTATTCACTGTTAAGAGCTGATCAGGGGAAAATCAATCAACTCCACTCTGACTGATTAGTACATGGCATCTATTTCAATCAGTACAAATAAAAGTAGTTTACTATTCTAATTTACTAACTTATTAGTTACTTGCCACAGTATGAGATGCCCCAGAAGGCACAAGGAACGGTAGCAAAGTGTAGTTTATCGATAACCAAAGTAGTAGTGACGCTTTTAATTGATGTAACCCAAAATCTTTGACACCCCAGGCGAATTTAGAGTAAAACGTTTTCTTTAACGAGATTATATTGTCTCTGATAGAAAATAATGAAAGTGTCTTTTCTAAAAGTAATAGTGGAGCATGCATACTTTTTATTCTTGTATAAATCCTGATTTCTACATATTTCAACAGAGATTTTATTTGTAGCGAGAAATACTAAGCCAATAATATTTGCAGGCCTATGTAATTGCCATAAACCTTAGCTCCCTCCAAAGATTCCCTGGCTGCAGCACTCAAAACTCTTAATATTACAGTAAAAAAAAAAAAAAAATCAAAGGTGTCATATTAAATGCACCCAGCAGATTTATTAAAATATTTAACTTGAACTTACTTTAATTTCAGATGTAAAGTAGATATATTGTTGTCTGTATAAAAACTAAACCAACATCAAAGTTGTCATAAAAAGCTGTAGTTTAGATAAGATAAAATAGAATAAAACATGTTTTTTAGATACATGGTATGCCAAATATTTTGTTTACTCTATTCTATTCTATTCTATTCTATTCTATTCTAATGTTGCAATACTTTATTATGCATGAGTATATTATGTTCAAGCTTTATAATCACTTTGTAATCATCTTCCCTTTTGCCACATTTTTTACTGGTTCTAATGGTTTGTGCAGCACTCTGCCCTGCTGCTGCAGACCAGGCTTTCTTCTTGCGGAACTGTTGACTGTCTTCCACCATGATTCAGACCAGTCTACCTACTGTTTAACCTCCTGAAAATATAATCTGAAATCTCCACCCTGTCTGTCCCTATCCTCTAGTTCAGCTTCCAAACAGCCACTCATAAAAAAAAGTTAAATATCGTCAGCCTGCAGGACCGAACATCCCAGCTGAGCTCCGTGTGTCTGCGCCCCTGCGGTGTATTTCTGAACATGTCAACATTTTGTTTTCTCTTTCACACATCGTTAAGTGTCTGTCAGTCAGAAATACCTACTTGCACCCAGGAAGCAGTCCGTTAACCTTCTGAAACAGCTTGTTGAAGACGGACCATCTTCCATGTCGGATTATGAGCGCAGAAAGGGAGAGAAGAGCGTCGAGAGAAGTGCGCCTCTGCAGCTGCAACTTTGTGCGTCCTTTGGAGCGCGAAAAATATCAACCAAACAAAAACAAATAATAATAAAAAAACAAATCAAAAGAAAAACAAAACTATTCCAGGACGCGATGGGGTCCTTAATGCTTGAAGCTGTGCACTGTTAAAGAGGGGGGTAAGAGCAGAGTGCTACCGCTCCCCTCCCTCCCTCCTCCTCCTCCTGCAGCAGCAGCGCTTTGACCCAGCACCGCTGGCCGAGCTCAGCTACGATCAGTCCGCCTCAGCGGCGTGGTGGCTCCGCGGTGGATGTGCAGCGGCAGACTGAGCAGAGCGCAGCCGTCAGCACAGAGCCACACGGGGAAGGGAGTGAACGGGAAGACGCGCGGCGGGCATTGGAGTGGAAAACCCGCACGGATCCGTCCTAGCTTTCAAAATAAAAGATCAGCTTAACCATCAAAAATAACACGTCAGATTTAATTATCTTCATTAACTAAACCTACGCGCTTAATAAATAATGCCTAAAAGTACAAATCACGCAAAGAGAGATGTTAAGAGCTGTTCATAAAGGGGATGATCGCCTCTTCAGATGGATTTTAAAATCCAACCAGTTTCGTTTCCGGTGTAGTTGTGCGCTTTAAGGCCAAACATCAACCAAACTCAGTTCAACGTTACTGAATGTCGCTCTGTTCCTGTTCCTGAATTATGCTGCGTAAAAAGGAGGCTGAGCTCATGCGTTATGGTGACCACCTACACCCTAGGGCACTAAATCAATTAGAATGTCATTACCTGATTATTACTTTTAATTGATCCAATGCAAAAACAAATATTCACGCACAGAGTGGTATAGCTGAATATCTTATTCAGACTAATATGGCTTAAGACATATTATAAGGTTTTGATTTTATTATTGAAATGGATTACACGATCCTGGAAAATATTGCTGACTCAAGGCTCCTCCAGCGTGTGACATGAGAGTTAGTCAGAGGAGGTTCACTGATAAAAGAAGTGGTCTGTTCTCAGAGAGCTTTATTAATAGCAAATTAAATTGAGGGAAAACAGTGTGGTAGAAAAGAGGTTTATGAGGCCAAACCTATACTGTTTACAAAGTTAAAGTAGGGTTATTTTGTTTTAATAATGGTCCCAAAGAAATAATATAGAGTCAGATTATATGGTTTGTTGGAGATGCACTGTGAAGTTTCCAGTCAGTATCTATTTGGAGAACTATGTCATTTTTTTGATCCACTGTGTTTTATTAACTCTGAGGTCAGTTCATCCATCTTCAACAACATTTTGGAGCCCATCATGGTCCTTTCTGCTAACCATCTACACTGCCAATTATTTGCAATTATTGATTTGCCACCAAACTAGTTTAACTACGAACCCCTTATGAAGAATCCCGGGAATATTGTGAATATTGTTTTTTATTGGCTGTAAACCATGTTCATGAAAACTAACATAAATAATATTCAGTTTATTTATACTGTACTGCAGTGATTCACAATGTGCCTCAAATCACTTTACAAAGTACTATCATTTCACTCGAGTCATATTTAGATTCCTAATGAAACAAGTTAAAATGATCAATATCAATAATCTAATGAATGCAATGTTGAATCCAGCAGATTGCATAGACTCTTTGACTGGCAGCACTCAAACCTGAATGATCATCTAGCTAAAATGGACATTTGAATGCATTGTGTTGTTTACTTTGCTGCAAAAATCAAAGCTGGAATGTAGCAAAGGAAAAGAAAATTCCCTCTTATCAAGAAGAAACCTCCAGCAGAACCATGCTCAGTGTGAACGGTTATACATAGCAGCATACTGGGCTTTTAGGAGGACAGCGAAGACGCACCAAAATTTGCACTGATCTAGAACTTCCTTTTGTTATGTAAAAGTAAAAAAAATGTAATGGGAGTAGCACCTCCTACGAGTAAAGTACATCTCTTACTCATTGAGGTATGTGCCCGCTATATTTCCTTTACAACCTGACACCTGTGTCCTTTATTAGGCACAACCTGTGGTTTAAAGTTATATCAAGCAAGAACTGTGAATGAAAATAAAACATAAAGGACATCAAAATGAAAAGTAGCATCAATGGAGTTAATATTTTCACACAATATGAATATCTAGAGTTATTTTTTTTTAAATAAACATTATCAAGGTCAAAAAAGAAAGCAGACAGGTTTATTTATCCCAAATTCTTAGGCATTTCAATCCATAATCTGAAAACAAAAACACTATAAAAAGACAGCAAACCGACCAAAATGGGACTGTCTAACTTAACAGAGAAGGAAGTCAATGAGAGTATGTTTCAGAAAAGAAACAGTGAGGCCCATGGTAACTCTGGTGCACCTGCAGAGATCCACAGCTCAGGTAGGGGATTCAGACAACAGGACATGCAACAGGAAAGGTTCAGTTAAAAGTCAAAGCTAAAACGAGTTTGGTTCTACCTGTACAGTATATCTAACTCTCTATATTGTAAACAATCCTTCATCGGAAGGTAACCAAATTACTCAAAGGTATAGAGGAGGATTTTTGCAGATTTTGAAAGGACTCGCCCTTTCCACTTAAAAAAAAAAAAACTTACATGCACAACCCTGCACGCCTATTAAACCCATTCGAGAGCATGCACCAGCCAATTTCTCCTTGTGCACGCTCTGTTTAAAAGTTGCTATTTGCATTGCTCATACAAGCTTACTTTGCAAAAGAAGATTTGCAGTTTTTCAACTATTTCAGACTTACCACAGGTACATGAAAATGGGGACGAGCACGTAGGATGGCCTTACGTAAACATATCACCAGAATGATTGACAATTAAGAGGACCATTTATTTTGATGGAAAAAACAACATCCTCCACTACAACTTTAATGTAAGATAGAAATTATAAGAGAAGAAATAGGTGATGGAATACAAATAAAAAAAAATAAGCAAAAAGAAATCAGCAATAAACGTTAAAGAGGAGACAAGGCTGTCCAAATAATATTGCCCTCTTGAATTAAAAATCAAGTTTTAAAGCTACAGTGTGTAATAATTAGAGGGATATACAGTCAGAAATGCAATATATTATACATAACTATGTTATTTATCATCATCTACAAGCTCAGCCTCTTAACCTTAATATTTGCGTTGCCTTAGAATTCGTTATTTATAATTACATAAGAGCGGGTCTCGCAGCCATGGAGGCAGACATCTTTGCGCTACGGCAGCGCAGAGCCAACAAACTATTGCGAGATCGACAAAACGTCACAACGATGTAGAAAAAATAACTGGTATATTTATTATCTTAAGTCTACATGAAATCTATACCGTATACAGACTAATGAAATACTATCTGTAAAATTATCTATGTAAACAAACCTCATCACTTGAGAAGGTAGGTGATGCGGACGTCGTGGAAGACATTTTGTCCCGTAACGCTCGCCGTACTGTTGGGGGGGATAAGCGGTGGGGGGGAGATGTTCATGTTGCTGCAGTCTAACTGCTAGATGTCGCTAAAAGTTACACACTGTAGCTTTAAAATATTTTACTTTTTAAAATGAGATCTAAAATCCTTGCGCAGATCTCACCGAAAGAGGGAGACTGCTCAAGAGCCGATGGGCTGTGGCCAAAAAAGTTCTGCTTCCTTTGGTCATGAGCTGAGTCCTGAGAACAACTGAGAGCTTTTGATCTAAAGATCTTAGATCTACTGACGATGGGAAAGTTCTTTGAGATAAAGAGGTGCTACAACATTTGGACATTTAATAACAACAAATGCAATCTTGTACTTGTTGCTTTGCACTTATCCCCTCCTGCTCTGCTGGGGAAAGGCTGAGGCGCTTTCAGGCCAGCCAAGAGACTTAGTCCCTCCAGCATTTCCTGGGTCGTCCCTCGGGCCTCTTCCTAATGAGACTTGTGTGGAATACATCTCGATGGAGGCATCCAAAAAGATGTCCAGGCCACCTCAGCTGACACCCTTCAGCAGTTAAATTATAAACAGGCTGAAGATGGCGAGAAGGAGATTATAGAGACAGCTGCACTAATGCAATCTAGAAGTTAGAAAAAAAAATGAAAAAAGTGTTAAGGATTATATGAGGAAGATAATGTTTGATTTTACTTATGTGCCTCATATGATAAAACCTAGGCTGGACTACTGCACTCCAGAGACCCAACAGCCCTGCTGTTTCCTGTCAGCAGGCCAGATTTACCAAATATATGAGCTCTGTATTCTCATCCATGCTCTCACATCTGCCAAACACTTGAGCAGCCTCTTCGCTGAGTTAGACACAGTCTCATGTACAAGTTCACTTGCTTTATGGAAAGACAAGAATCTAAGTTTGTTTCAAGAAAAAATATATCTATTGGGATCAATTGTAGGCTTCCTTATTTATCAAGGAAGTGCTCGATAACTCCTTACTATAGTTCAACTGCTTCTTATTGCTCCTATCTTTGTAATTGTTTTGCTAAAGATATTTTGTAGAATCACTGGAACTAGCCTATCACTCAGCACCTTGTTTTCAAGAAGTAAAAATTTAGCAACTTTGAAATAGTTCTGAATTTTTTGATTGTTGATTGTGAATTGCTGTTTTTCTAGTTGTGCAAACAGAAAGAGCAAACAACAGAGAAGACATTTTCACATACAGTTTGCCACAAAATGTGTAAGGGAGAAAGCAAACTTACAGTAGTGTAAGGTGCTCTAGTCCAATGATGATGTCAATTAGCCTAGTTACATAAAACAATGCTTCATGAGGGAAGAAAATTAACACTGCACATCAGTCTGACTCTTCATCCCAAAGGTAAAAGATGGCGGTGGTGGTGTAATGTTGTGGGGATGCTTTTCTTAAGATGGCCAGAATAAAAGTGAAGATCTACATCCTATTGGACTTTTGAGGTGAGTTGTCCTTTTAAGAATATTAATTCAGAATGAGCTGAAAGCAAATGGTACAGCACACTTTTATTTTGTTATTATTAAAAAACAAAAAGGAGGAAAAAAAAAAAACATAATTGTGTCATTATACTTCACTATCTTGCCCTGCTTTGTGCTGGTCTGTTTCATAAGGTCCTCAAATGTATGTAACCTTTACTTAATCAGGTCTGTCTCATTGAGATCATAACTTTCTCTACATGAGAGATGATTGTTTCCACACCATGCCACAAACCCAATAATAACAAAATAAATGAAAATGTTTGACAGAATTTAAAATAGGTAAAAGGGGTGCACATTTTTTAAAAGTTACTGTGAATTTAATGCTTAAAACTCCTGGTGTTTACAACCTCCTGGCAACCTTCAGGCTTTGTGGCTTGCTAAAGAAAACAAATAACTTTGACATAAAAAAAAATTAATAAATCACATGATTTGTAAGAAGATCAAGGCAGTTGTATGTATTATCTGCGATACATTTAGTTGCCTGGGGCAGCGCCAGTTTACAGGATACCCACAGGGCCCATTTCCAACCAATAAAGTCATTGGAACTG